AATATTGAATACAATAAAAGTTGTTGATGTTTGTGTATAATAGTCCAGGTGATATGTGCAAAATTTGAGGTGATATGTTCACTTTTTCATAAAAGCATGAAACTTGGTACAATTGTACAGGTTAGGGCCCTGAACATTTTCAGAAATGGAGCCATCGCAAAAACACCTCGTGGTTGCCATGGCGACTATTTTACTTTCCGCCATAACCAAATGATGTATTTTGGGTTATATCTCCTGAACCAAACGTGATAACACAGAAAATGTGATGTCTACCCCTATGTTTTGATGGTCAAGGATTACAATGACACCATATACAGCAACATAAACAGTGGTTCAGGTGAAGAGTTAATGGTGAAATCCGCTATGTGAGAAGGAAATAACAGTATCTGAGCATCACAGTATCACAGCATTTACAATAGTCCATATTATGGCTATACATTTTTTTCTTTCTTTGATAATTAACTAATATTTTATTCAATAAAGATTGTTTTAATTAATTAATTATTAATTTGTTACATTTATATAGCACTTTTTTTATTCTGTTTCCTTTTTTATTTATTTTATAATAAAAAAAAAAAAAAAACCTTGCTACGTGTACTAAGTTAAGCTAACTGAGACTTGTTATAGCACTTGCATACCATTGCTCTTTTGTTGATTTTAATTGCTTCCATTGTCCTCATTTGTAAGTCTCTTTGGATAAAAGCGTCTGCTAAATGTCTAAATGTAAATGGAGCCATCGCAAAAACACCTTGTGGTTGCCATGGCGACCATTTTACTTTCCTCCATAGCTAAATTATGTATTTTGTGTCATAGCTCCTGAACCAAACATGATAACACAGAAAATGTGATGTCTACCCCTATGTTTTGATGGTCAAGGATTACAATGACACCATATACAGCAACATAAACAGTGGTTCAGGTGAAGAGTTAATGGTGAAATCCGCTATGTGAGAAGGAAATAACAGTATCTGAGCATCACAGTATCACAGCATATACAAAAGTCCATATTATGGCTATTATTTTTTTTCTTTCTTTGATAAGTAATATTTTATTCAATAGTACAATAAAAGATTGTTTTAATTAATTAATTATTAATTTGTTACATTTATATAGCACTTTTCTGGGTACCATAGACTGTATAAAAACAGCTGGGTACTCAAACCACTTTACATGGAAGGGGGAATTTCCGCAACCACCACCAATGTGCAGCATCCACCTAGATGATGTGACAGCAGCCATACTGCGCCAGAACGCCCACCACACACCAGCTTAACTAATATTTTATTCAATAGTACATTAAAAGATTGTTTTCCTTACCTCTCAGGCAGAGTCAGATAGGCGGTAGTATGTTTCCAATACATTCTTGTTCTCTCTCAACAATGCTCTAACATCACACGCAGACGGCAACGCAATCTTGCTAAGCTGCGTCCTATCTGCACCTCTTCTGCTGCATCTCTGTCATTTTCTGTGGGTCTCTGGAATTGTCAGTCAGCTGTCAACAAACTTCTTTCTGGCCATTGCTTCTCAGTCTACTCTTATTATCTTGGGCTTGACTGAGACCTGGATTCGTCCAGAAGACACCGCAACCCCTGCTGTTCTCTCTAACAACTTTCCTTTCTCTCACACCCCCCGTCAGGTTGGAAGGGTACTGGTCTTCTCATTTTTAATAATTGGAAATACTCAACCCACTCTTCATTATGCAATAAAAATAATTTTGAGTTTCATGCTATTATGGTAACAGCTCCTGTTAAACTCCATATTGTAATGATTTATCGATTTCCTGGTCAACTGGGCACCTTTATAGATGAGCTGTATGGGCTGCTGTCCTCATTCTCTGTGGATGGCAGTCCACTTGTAGTCTTTGGTGACTTCGAAATCCATCTGGAGAAGCCTTACACTGCAGACTTCCAGTACCACTCCTAGCTTCATTCGATCTCAACAACAAATCAGGCAACCAGCTTGACTTAATTTACACATGTAATTGTATCACAGACAACATTTAGTAAAACCTCTAGATATCTCTGATAATTTCTTTATTTCATTTAACCTACATATTACTACCTGTGTGCCACCAATTCCTCTACCAGTTACTTTTAGGCAAAACCTACGCTCCCTTTCACCATGCCATGTTTCCTCTGTAGTGTCATCCTCTCTTCCCTCACCCACCCATTTGTCATCTCTGGATGTAAATACAGCAACTGACACCTTATATTCCACTTTAACTTCTTGTCAAGACAATATGTGTCTAGACAGGCCAGTGCATACTCATATTACTACCTGTGTGCCACCAATTCCTCTACCAGTTACTTTTAGGCAAAACCTACGCTCCCTTTCACCATGCCATGTTTCCTCTGTAGTGTCATCCTCTCTTCCCTCACCCACCCATTTCTCATTTCGGGATGTACAGTAAATACAGCAACTGACACTTTATGATCCACTTTAACTTCTTGTAAAGACAATATTTGTCTAGATAGGCCAGTGCATAATACCCCTTCTAACCTAAAAAGTTGCCCCATGCATCATCATCATCTTTGCTGTATGTTTGCTGAGCAGTCTTTTGGGTGGCTCACCAATGTACTAGATTTCTCTAATACAAAAAAAATTAAGTAGGCTTGACCAAACTTTTTGTGCGGAGAAGAATTTATTGAAGATGGAAGTGTAGCAGTTCTTCAATAGCGATGTTAGCATGTCATCCTTCAAATAATCTTAACCCTTGTAAGAATCTTAGCTTCTCCCAAAGTTCTGTCTATGGGATATCATGTTATACCTAAAGACAAAAGTGCTACAAACAACATATACTGTTAGGACCTCCAGCTGGAGATCCTGCAATCTACAAGACGTTCCTGAGGAATGCTGTTCCTTTGTTATTCTAATGGAATGGACCGTTTGGTCCACACCTTCATAGACACAGTTACATTATTTCTTTCACAGAATGACCAACTGAACGTTAACCAATCAGGTTTCAGCAGCGGCCATTCAACTATATAGTCAGTATAGCTCTGCAGATTGTGAAAGATGATTCCAAATCATAAGTTCTTATTCTGCTGGATCTATCTGCCACTTTTGACACTGTAAATCATCAGATTCTCCTGTCTACCATCACAGGATCTGCACTCCACTGGTTTGAATTTTATCTCACAGGTAGGTCTTTCAGGGTTTCCTGGGGAGGAGAGGTATCCAAAGAACATCAACTGGTCACTGGGGTTCCTCAGGGATCAGTTATTGGACCCCTCCTCTTCACCATATACACTACATCACTGGGACCCATTATACAAGCACATGGTTTCTCCTACCATTGCTATGCTGATGACACACAGCTCTATCATTCGTTTCAACCAGACAATCCAATAGTAGCTGCATGGATCTCAGGCCGCCTGGCAAACATCTCGGCATGATTGAAGGAACATCACCTACAGCTCAACCTGGCAAATACTGAGCTTCTCGTTTTCCCTGCCACTCTGACTCTACAGCGTGATTTCATCATCCTGCTAGTTTCATCAAAAATTATTCTTTGGTGACCAGCTGACCTTCAAGGACCATATTGTAAAGAACTGTTTGATTAGGCCCTTTCAAACAGAGCATGCTGCACAACTTCTTGCCCAGGCCCTTGTCATTTCTAGGCTGGACTATTGCAATGCTCTTCTGGCTGAACTTCCATCATGCACAATCAAACCTCGACAAATGATTCAGAATGCAGCCCACTTCACTTCTCCTTCCTCCTTACATAGCTGATTTCACCATTAACTCTTCACCTGAACAGTTTATGTTGCTGTATATGGTATCATTGTAATCTTTGACTATCAAAACATAGGGGTAGACAATACCTTTTCTGTGTTATCATGTTTGGCTCAGGAGCTATGACACAAAATACATAATTTGGTTATGGTGGAAAGTAAAATGGTCGCCATGGCAACAACAAGGTGTTTTTGCGATGGCTCCATTTCTAAAAATGTTTAGAGCCGCAAACTATACAAGTGTACCAAGTTTCATGCTTTTATGAAAAAGTGAACATTATTTTCACATATCATCTGGACTTTAAAGCTCTGCATGATCAGGCTCCTGAGTACATAAGGGATATGTTGGTCCCTTACCAATTGCATCGACTATTGCGCTCCTCTCAGAGCTTGATTTTGACTCGTCTGAGGCGGAGTGGAGATCGCGCTTTTTCTGTTGAGGCTCCAGCACTTTGGAATGCTCTGCCATTATCTGTAAAATCCTCATCAAGCATGGACATTTTTAAAAAGGACTTAAAGAAAGACTTGTTTTATCAGGCTTTCGGCATTTGATTGGTCAGGACAATTGTGAATGACTTGTCTTTTATTTTATGTTTTGTTCCTATATTGTAATGTTTTATTTTTTTTAATCTTTATTATATACTGCTTGTGTACAGCACTTTGGTCCATTTTTATGGTTTTGAAAGTGCTTTATAAATAAAGGTTGAGTTGAGAGTTGAGTTTATTTCATAAAAATAAAGTATATATGTCCACAGTGGTCTCAAAGTCCCAAGTCCTGCAGTTATTTTTCAAATTTGAGTATGATTTCACAAAACTTGGTTTCCTGTTAGCTTTCATGGCGTGTTCCCAAAACTGCCACTAGAAACGCCAATTGGTATTCTATTAGAATTTATTATATGAACATGAGGGTCACATCACCTGACAGCGGTCCCCCCCCGCACCCCACCCCACTCCACTTTTAAAATGGCTGCTACACCCCTGATTGCATGAAAATGGGTAGGCCACCACAACAATCACACATAATGACTAGTTTAAAATGGTTTCCATATGAAATATTCTCTTGTTCTGTCCAGGCTGGACTATTGCAATGCTCTCTTGGCAGGTCTTCCAGCAAGTTCTATCAAACCTTTAAAATTAATCCAGAACATGGCAGCAAGATTAATTTTTAAGGAGCCAAAAAGAATGCACGTCACACCATTGTTTATCAATTTGCACTGGATACCAATAGCTGCTCGCATAAAATTCAAGGCATTAATGTTTGCCTACAAAACCAATAGTTCATGCTTTTACTCCATAAATGAAAATAGTTTCAAAGTATATGACAAAAATGACTCACACTCTGGTCTGTAATCCTGTACAAACAGTGAAATCACTCAGTGATGCTGGACTAAATATCCACACTATGAACTCTGTTCAGAAATCCAATTCAACTGTTGTATATTATATTGTGCATGTCTTAAATTGTAATCATGTGTACTGTCATATATCACATGGCATGAATGATGAAAGCAACTGCTGTTTGTTCTTTAGCGTGTTTGTTCTGGTGGGTCTGAAAACTACCTAAATAAGCGAATCTCTCGCCGCAGATGGAGCAGGAGTAAGGTTTCTCTCCTGTATGAACTCGCTGATGGACCTTAAGGACGCCTGATCGAGCAAACGTCTTGTCACACTGTGAGCATTTGAACGGTCTTTCTCCGGTATGAATCAATGTGTGCATCTGTAAAGTAACACCCCTACGGAAACTCTTCCCACAAACACTGCATTGATATGGTTTTTCTCCAGTGTGGACTCGCTTATGTTCTTTAAAATGAGTTAGATTAGAAAAGCTCTTCCCGCAGTAAGAGCACAGATACGGTTTCTCTCCGGTGTGAGTCCTATCGTGATTGTTCAGACTAGAAATATGACGGAATCGTTTGTAACAGTATTTGCACTGAAACGGTTTCTCATCAGAGTGTATACTTTGGTGTGACTTTAGAGAGCCTGAGTTTGTAAAGGTTTTCCCACATTCACTGCACTGATACGGCCTCTCATTGGTGTGAACACGCACATGTGTCCTCAGATGAGCTCTGTGCAGGAGAAACTCTTGGTCTTCAGCTGCTCTTTTGAAGTTGAGACTGTTTCTTCATCTCCATCAGAAGATGAACCACCAACGGCATCTGAAAGGAACAAAGCATTAAGAAAACAACTTTAAAATATACTTGAATAAAGTTAGTCTGCATAATGCTTTTTTTTTTTGCAATATATTAGTTAATAATTATTATGATTCAGAATGTATGAATAATTATCACAATATACTGCAACAGGGTATATACAGGAAACATGGAGTTAAATTTAATACCTTTTAAGACCTTTTTTAAGACTCTTTCCATACAATTTAAGACCTCATCGCCACTTCAAGTTTTAACCAGTTACATTGACGACATATTGATTGTAAGATAGCTAGGGTTGGGTATCATTTGAATATTATCAATTCAGATTCTGATTCCGCTTATCGATTCGATTCTTTTAGATTCCTTTTGATTCCCACGTGAACGCAGGTTTAAATGTTCAAATCACACTGGTGTGATCGTACACCGCACGGACGAACCAAGAGTGATCACAAAGTTGGTCACCTGAGCTCTGAACGAAGTCGAGAGCACTTTAGGATCATAACCATGTCTTGATTTTAGGACGAATATACAGTCGTTAGGTCCGAACTCAAGACATGAGGCGCTGATTGACAGCGCTTGCAAGTCACCCACAAGCTTAACTGATGCCAAAGCTAGGAGGGCCGTTTTAAGCGATAAGGGCCGCAAATCGGCCGAACTGAGAGGCTCGAAAGGGGGGCCTTCATAGGGCCCGTATGACTATAGACAGGTCCCAAGACAGCACAGTCTGAGGGCGAGGAGGGTTCAGCCTCTGTGCGCCCCTTAAGAACATTAACGATCAGGTCGTTTCTGCCGATCGATTGGCCAGCTCCTGCAAAAAGGTTTGCACGTGGGACATGTCACATGATACCGGGTCCAAACTACATGCAGAGCACCAGTTTAGGAAGACCGACCATTTTAGTTTGTAAAGGCGTCTTGTCGACGGTGCTCTTGCCTCTAAAATGGTATTGCTTACTCTAGCTGGGAGCTGATTAAGCTCCCATCGAGGCACCATACATGAAGGCTCCACAGCTCCGGCCGGGGATGCCAAATCATGCCTTTCGCCTACGTGAGAAGGTCCCTCCTCAGCGGAATGGGCCACGGGGCTGAAAATATACTTGAATAAAGTTAGTCTGCATAATGCTTTTTTTTTTTGCAATATATTAGTTAATAATTATTATGATTCAGAATGTATGAATAATTATCACAATATACTGCAACAGGGTATATACAGGAAACATGGAGTTAAATTTAATACCTTTTAAGACCTTTTTTAAGACTCTTTCCATACAATTTAAGACCTCATCGCCACTTCAAGTTTTAACCAGTTACATTGACGACATATTGATTGTAAGATAGCTAGGGTTGGGTATCATTTGAATATTATCAATTCAGATTCTGATTCCGCTTATCGATTCGATTCTTTTAGATTCCTTTTGATTCCCACGTGAACGCAGGTTTAAATGTTCAAATCACACTGGTGTGATCGTACACCGCACGGACGAACCAAGAGTGATCACAAAGTTGGTCACCTGAGCTCTGAACGAAGTCGAGAGCACTTTAGGATCATAACCATGTCTTGATTTTAGGACGAATATACAGTCGTTAGGTCCGAACTCAAGACATGAGGCGCTGATTGACAGCGCTTGCAAGTCACCCACAAGCTTAACTGATGCCAAAGCTAGGAGGGCCGTTTTAAGCGATAAGGGCCGCAAATCGGCCGAACTGAGAGGCTCGAAAGGGGGGCCTTCATAGGGCCCGTATGACTATAGACAGGTCCCAAGACAGCACAGTCTGAGGGCGAGGAGGGTTCAGCCTCTGTGCGCCCCTTAAGAACATTAACGATCAGGTCGTTTCTGCCGATCGATTGGCCAGCTCCTGCAAAAAGGTTTGCACGTGGGACATGTCACATGATACCGGGTCCAAACTACATGCAGAGCACCAGTTTAGGAAGACCGACCATTTTAGTTTGTAAAGGCGTCTTGTCGACGGTGCTCTTGCCTCTAAAATGGTATTGCTTACTCTAGCTGGGAGCTGATTAAGCTCCCATCGAGGCACCATACATGAAGGCTCCACAGCTCCGGCCGGGGATGCCAAATCATGCCTTTCGCCTACGTGAGAAGGTCCCTCCTCAGCGGAATGGGCCACGGGGCTGCTGCTGAGAGCTGCACTAGCTCTGGGAACCAGGCCTGGTTCCTCCAGAGCGGGGCCACTAGGAGGAGAGAGCACTTGGTCAGCCCTGACCCGCCTGTCAACCTGAGGAATCAGGGTGACTGGGGACAAAGCGTACAGGCGAGCACTGGGCCAATCGTGGCCCAGAGCATCTCGCTGTATCAAGAAGTATGTTGAGCAGTGAGAGTTGTCTTCTGAGCCGAAGAGGTCGACCTCTGCCTTCCCGAAGATTGACCAGATTTTTGAACCGTTTGAGGATGTAGCGCCCATTCGCCTGGGGCTACCTTGCCTCTGGACAACGTATATGCACCAAGGTTCAATCTGCCTGGCACATGAACCGCCCTTAACGAGAGGAGTTCTATTTTTGCCCAATAGAGAAGGTGACGAGCCATCCTGTAAAGAGTGTGTGACCTGAGACCACCTTGGTGATTGATGTAGGCCACTGCCGTCATGCTGTCCGACCGGACTAAGACGGTGCCCCTTTAAGGCTGGTAGGAATGTTTTCAGGGCTAAGAAAACCGCCAACATTTCTAGGCAGTTGATATACAGGCATTGCTCTGGGGCTGACCAGGAGCCGAACGCCGGATTGCCCTCCAACCGGGCGCCCCAACCGAGTTGGAGGCATCTGTTGTAACCACCTTCCTTCTGGAGGTCAGTCCTAACCGCATGCCTGTTTGAAACAGACGAGAGGTTGTCCAGGGGCCACAGCTCTGACACAGCGGTGGTTTACCCTGACGCAAAACTGTCCCAGGCGCCAGGTGTGGGATGAAACACGGGCCAAAATTGAAGAGGCCGCATGTGGAGCAGGCCTAGAGGTATTACAGAGGTGCCGGCCGCCATGAGGCAACGTAACCTCTGAAAAACCTTGAAGGGACATATCGTTCCTGGTTTGAGAGATGCCGCTAATCGCTGAATAGTCAGGGATCGTTCCTGCGTAATCCATGGCCACATTTTGGCAGAGTCTAAAATTGTTTCCAGAAAGACAGCCTGCTTGCTGGGTAACAGATGACTCTTCTGTGGGTTGATCATCAACCAGAGGTGCTCTAAGCACCTCTAAGCTCTTTGTGAGCTGCCAATTCCCATTTTGATCTGGCTAGAACCAGCCAATCATCGAGGTAATTCAATATGCAGATTCCCATTTGTCTCAGAGGGGAAAGAGCTGAGTCTATGCACTTCGTAAAAGTGCGCGGGGCCAGAGACAGTCCAAACGGAAGGACTGCTACTAGGCCACTCCCCACAGGAGGATAGGCCACTCCCTCTAATGCAAATCTCAAGAACGGTCTGTGATGGGGGCTATGTAGATGAGAAAGTAAGCATCTTTCAGATTCACTGTTAGAAACCAGTCCTTGGGGCAAATCTTCACGAGGATCTGTTTCAAAGGTAACATCTGAACAGCCATCTCATAAGTGAGCGATTCAGATGTCTGAGATCTAGAATATATCTGAGCCCGCCATCTTTCTTTGGAACGAGGAAGTAGCGACCAAAAAAGCCTAGCTCGCTGTTCGCTAGAGGTATTGTTTCCACAGCACGAGTGAACTAGAGTGAGTAACCTCCTTTACTGTATTTAGAACCCAACTGAAGGGGAGGAACGTGAGAGTGGAAGAGGCGGGGCCACCTTCATTAGAAGGGGATCCACGAGCGAGGCAAGGACAGACTCGTATGCTTTAAGTGAAAGCCAAAGCATTCCGTCTCAGTGTGCGTGTGGCTCTGCGTGGGTGCTGCCCAGACAGACGACGCAATCACTGCCCTTCTGCATCGTGCAGGCTTCTCACTTCTTCCTCTGCCGGGGCTCTTTTACGGCGGCGAGCTGCAGGCTGAGCTTCTTCCTTCTTCGGCTTCTTGATTGCAGAGTCAGCAAAGAGATGATCCTCATCGCTGAAGGAGAATGATGTGATGAATGGAGCTCTGAGCCGACTTATATAGGGGTCGGCTCCGCCCTTTCTGGCAGACTAAAGCGCCATTGGTTTGTGCAGCTACACAAACGTGAACAAATCAGGCTTCAGCACAGAGTATAACTGGAGTTTTCCATATGAGTTTCCACGCAACGGGAGAGACCGTTCGAAAGGGAACTTGCATTTCCCCATTAGTCAACGATGTTGTTTAACAACAGGGCGTAAAGAAACCTGCGCTATCATGCAGCTGTCAGTAGGGTAGACGCGGAGGAGCTTCAGCACGCGCAACATGAAAGCCCTGTTTAATTATGATATAAGAGAGAACTAAACATTCAAACACACAGTAATGTTAGTAGAACTTCATGGAAAAATTAAAGCACTGTTTATTTCATTTAATTTGTATATTTGTTTTATTGTATATGTCAGTTTGTTTTACTTTATTTCGTTGTTCATGTTCTTACTGTATCTTATCTTATGTATAAAACACTAAAAATGCCTGCACACTGGTGCATAAGTACCGAATCGATAAGCAGTATCGGTAAGAGTAGTAATACCGTTAAAACCTTAACGATACCCATCCCTAGCTGTAAGTGAGCACGGTAACAGATGAAGTCAATTCTAGCGGGATTCCATTAATAAACGACACAGAATCCCATCATTCGCCTACGCAATGATTAAATTCAGGCAAACTTAAGCATACAACCTCAGTTTGGACAAATACATAATGAAAAAATTATGCAAAATGTAATACCTTGGAAAATTGCAAGGTCCAGAAAAGTATGAAAAGCATTGTCAGAATAGTTCATCTGCCATCAGTGGTTCAAATCCGCATCACCATAGCGCCATTTTGGAGAATATGAGCTGAGCGCAAGCAGCGTACGCTCTTCTGTGTCAGCCGTGCCACAAGGATACGTTTTCTACGTGTATTTACGCTGTGATTTGAAAAAAAAAAAACGGCGCATCCTTGTGTCGCGGCTGACACAGAAGAGCGTACGCTGCCTGCGTTCAGCTCATATTCTCCAAAATGGCGCTACGGTGATGCGGAGAGACACAATTTACTTGGCAGTCAATGGGACAGTCACAAGCCTCCCGATTTTCTTCCAAAATATCTTAAATTGTGTTCCGAAGACAAACGAAGCTTTTACGGGTTTGGAACGACATGGGGGTAAGTGATTAATGGCAACATTTTCATTTTGGGGTGGAGTATCGCTTTAAGGGCCTTAATTTTTTTCTAAATTGATCTATTAACTTTTAATACTTTTTAAGACCCCGTGGACACCTTATGCAAAACAACCATAAAGTGATGTTTGGCCAAATCCAGCAGCCTTACAAACAAGCACAGAAAGACTGGACCTCTTAAAAGAGCACATTTTTAATCCCACTTAAAAAAAAATATCCTGTAAATTGTTCAGCCCTGCTAACATTTGCCATCACATTCCCAAATATCTCAGTAAATCTGCACCATCAGCCAATATAAACCTGATCCTGCAAAGTGTCTGCTGACATTCAAGTGTCATGAAAAACAACAAAAGGTCATAAAAGGAGAAACAAACCTGGAGGAATTAATTCTTCATCATCATCATTCCCATTATTGTGTTGTTCCTCTGCGGTGGTTTCGTCTCCTCTGCTCTCTATCAGGTTCCTGCAGTCCACCAGTTTGACGGAGCACGTCTTCAGCGGCGTCTGCAGCATCTGCTGTTCTCCAGCGTTACAGTCAGAGTCAGTGATGCTGGACTAAATATCCACAGTGTGAACGCTGCTCAGAAATCCAGTTCACCTGTTGTATAATATATGGTTCATGTTTTAAATTGAAATCATCATGTGTGTATGATGTTACTGTCATATATCACATGGCATGAATGATGAAAGCAACTGCTGAAATAAAGCCTTTACTGACAGACCAAGACATGTAAAGTCACTCTGATGATTCTGGAGCAGTTTGTTCTTTAGCGTGTTTGTTCTGGTGGGTCTGAAAACTACCTAAATAAGCGAATCTCTCGCCGCAGATGGAGCAGGAGTAAGGTTTCTCTCCTGTATGAACTCGCTGATGGACCTTAAGGATGTCTGATCGAGCAAACGTCTTGTCACACTGTGAGCATTTGAATGGTCTTTCTCCGGTATGAATCCTCTTGTGCTTTCGTAAAGTATCAAACTTACTGAAACTCTTCCCACAAACGCTGCAGTGATATGGTTTTTCTCCAGTGTGGACTCTCTTATGGTCTCTGAAATGAGGTGGATCAGAAAAGCTCTTCCCGCAGTAGGAGCACAGATACGGTTTCTCTCCGGTGTGAATCCTCTCGTGACAATTCCGATGACAAATCTGGCGGAATCGTTTGTCGCAGTGTTTGCACTGATACGGTTTCTCATCAGAGTGGATTTTCTGGTGTGATTTTAGACAAGATAACTGCCTAAAGGTTTTCCCACATTCACTGCACTGATACGGCCTCTCATTGGTGTGAACACGCACATGTTTCTTCAGATGAGATCCATGATTGAAGCTCTTTTCGCAGTGAGGACACTTGTGCGGCTTTTCTCCCGTGTGGATTCGCTTATGAGCATCAAGATTTCCTTTGGTGCTGAAATACTTGTCACATTCGCTGCAGTGGAAAGACTTTTCGTTGTGTGTCTTTATATGAGCTTTCATATTCTGAGCATTGGTGAAAAAACCCTTCCCACACTGTTCACAGTGAAACTCCTTCTTCATGCTGTGCTCTTTTGAATGAAGTCTCCTCTCTTCTGCGGTAGGAAAGCTGATGTTGCATATCTTACAGCTGAAGTCTTTCTGTTCTGTGTGTGTTCTCTCGTGTCTCGCTAAATGACCCTCTGAACTCAGTGTTTTTCCACAGGTGGCGCAGGAGAAACTCTTGGTCTTCAGCTGCTCTTTTGAAGTTGAGACTGTTTCTTCATCTCCATCAGAAGATGAACCACCAACGGCATCTGAAAGGAACAAACCATTAATAAAACAACTTTAAAATATACTTGAATAAAGTTAGAGAACATCTAGGGATGTACCGAAATGAAAATTCCTGGCTGAAGCCGAAACCGAACAAAATGAAACACTGGGCCGCAGGCCGACTACCGAACACGGTTTTCCGCATATAAATAATATTTTTTGGCCATTTTTCAAACCCCCTTCTTGAATCAGGCATGTATTTTTGTACTGTACAAATAAATGCAGCCTTGCTGAGCAGAAGAGACTTCTTTTAAAACATTAGAAAATATTTCAGATACAAATCTATTACAGATTTGAACACTATGTGTGAATGTTATAATAAATGTATTAATAGAGCTGTTGTAATTATTATTAGGGCCCGAGCACCAATGGTGTGAGGACCCTATTGGAATTGCTCCGTTTCTTCTTCTTCTCCAAAGTGAATCGCATTTTTGAGGGCCTAAACATGCTCCAAACTCATGAAACTTTGCACACACATCAGAACTGGCGAAAATTTACATCTGATATGGGTTTCAGACGTGGGTGTGGCAAAATGGCTTGACAGCTCCACCTATAAAATTTCAACAAAGTGCCCCTCGAGCTACGTTTCACGTACACGTACGAAACTCGGTACACACATGTAACACACCAATACCTACAAAAAAGTATCCTGGTTCAAAATCCGAAACCCAACAGGAAGTCCGTTATTTTGAATTTCCTGTATGATTTTTGGGCAGTTTTTGTCATTTTCAAGCCTTGTACTTTAGCAAACGCCTTCTACAATTTTAATCGGATCATCTTCAAATTTGGTGAGGGTCATCATAAGACCTTTGTGACGTTAAATTGCGAAGATCTTGAGATTTCGTCAAGGGGCATGTCCCTGGCGTCCTGACAAAGCCTAGGAACATATTAAAAAGCGTCAACAAGTGTTAAATAGGCTGGCAACATGCTAGAAGCATACTAAAACATGCTAGCAACACTTACTAGCTAAGTACTAAAGCATGCTATTAACACCATCAAACAGGACCATGAAACAGGAAGTTGTTGTAACTTAAACATGCAATGTCCGATCTGCACCAAACATCACATGTTTGGTAAGAATATTGGCCTGAAGACATCTTCTCATCAGTGGCTGTCAGAATACATGCAGTTCATGCATGTGTTAGAAAACATCACATTCTGCAGTTTATTTACTAATTGTTCGAGGCCATTTCGCAATTTCAATATCATACAGTAACCAGCAACAACCACTCTCCTCTCCTCATGGAAAACATGCAATGCAGTGCTAAACAGTCTCTCGCTGCCGGGGCGCTTTCATGCTCAACATCTGAACAGACACACACCATGATTATTAAAGACGCATTTATAATGGACTGATAAAACCATTTACATATGATTAGTGTTTCTTCAGATTGCCTTCATTTAAATATGACATATCTTAGTCTTCAATATATCATTTTTACACAAAAACTAAAATATTTATTAGTGAATGGTCAAATATTTGATCATAATTAACTTTATACATATTTAACCACTGTGTCAACAAACTTTCTATATATTAACATAATTTAGTAAAATTAACTGCCTTCATATGGCCAGTCAATACGTTACTGATTCTTAGTTCCAAGAATATTTACAATAATGTTTTATGGTTTTTGACTGAATGTCTAGGATAATGGTAAAACAGTAAAAACATAAAAAGTATTTGATAAAACGTTTCAAATACAAAACCTTTACAAAACAACACTGCTTAAATCTAGTTTTACTAGGAACAATTAACCTTAGAGACAAAAAAAAGTGCTCAAGAAACCATAATAATGTTATAAACGTGACTTTTGCTTTCTTATCCTGTACGAAAATTAACCACGGTTTTACTACAAATAAAACCAAAAACCATGGTAACCACAAATGAACCATGGTTTTGAAACACTAGCCATAGTTTAACCTTGGTATTTGTAGTAAAACTGTGGTTATACAAATGGTAGTCAATACGCCAAAAAACAACAACAACAACTGGTTACTACAATTTTGCTATAATAAAACCATGGTTAATTTTCGTAAGGGATACTATAGAACATAATGGCCTGGTTTCACAGAGAGGGCTTAGACTAAATCAGGATTAGGCCATAGTTCAATTAGGACATTTAAGTCATTTTTATAAACGTGCCTCAGAAAAAAAAAAAACATTACTGGTGTGCATCTTGAGACAAAACAAAGGCACTGATATGTTTTAAGATCAGTCAGTGCAAGTTTCTTTCAGTTGAAACAGCTCAGATTTACATTTTAGTCTAGGACTAGGTTTAAGCCTTGTCTGTGAAACCTGTGGAATATAAATCACCTTTATTTAATCAAACATTCAGCTGCTGGATTTGAGGTATTACAACATAATGTTCTGCTCCTTTCTCTGTAAAATTTAAATCGTTTTAACCGTCCGGTACAAAATAAAGAGACACGATAAAGTAAATCAGACGGTTGCAAAACCTTAAAGCAGATTATGACATAAAATCACACAACCGACCTGAAACACGTTAATCTCGCAGCAGCAGAAAGAAAACACTGCTCTACTTCCGTCCCAGCAACATATGACGCACTTCCGCCCCCTGCTGGACTGGAGCGCCAACATAGCTGGATATGACTTCAGTTTAAAGGGATAGTTCACCCAAAAAATGAAAAGTGTGATGTTTATCTGCTTACCCCCAGGGCATCCAAGATGTAGGTGACTTTGTTTCTTCAGTAGAACACATATAATGATTTTTAACTTTAACCGTTGCAGTCTATCAGTCGTATAATGCATGGCAATGTCTATGAGTTTGCCATGCATATCTCAGTCAGTTAGTGTTGTCGTGGCCACAACATAATAACTCGTGGGAACGTGATAATATGTCGTGGCCACGAGATATTAATTTGAGGGAACGACATATTTTTCTCGTGGCCACGAATTTAATGCGTAAACAAACCTGCATGACCATAGCAGGATTATCAGAGATGGATTCATTAATAGTATATTTTGAATTTATAAATTATTATATTATTTATTATATAAATTATTACGTTATTAAATTATTATATTAACCATAGGCCTTGGCTACCGGGCTGTATTACGTGCGATAGTCAGCATTCAAATGAAGTTTATCATGAATAAATGTTACATAAAGTGCATAATATCAAATATAAAAACATTTTTATCCATCCTACAGTCTTGTAAGTCCATTAACTGATCGTCTTTTCCCCGTAATATTTCTATATTATTATTATTAGCCTATTATTATTGATTATATTTTTATATTCGTTTATATTCTTTTTTTCCCCCTTCATTTCGATCTCTTTACTTAACGTTCTGAATACTTTTGTAAATAATAGCCTGCTGTAAATGCTCGACATGCCAGTAAAGCTTTGATTATGCTGACTGGAATTTTTGCTGGAATGCAGTTTAAATTTAACATATATTTAATTTTATTTCGGCTAATTAATAGACCATAATTATAAATACTATAGTATTTCGTTGAGGAATTCACATTTGTAAATGAAAACACAAATGCTCATTTATCATCACACATGGGCATAAATACAATAATAAAATCAAAACTTTATTGGCATAATTGTCAGGCATATATTTGCTAAATATATGGTAGGCTAGCAGATGCTAGAATAATTATACAAAACGTTAACTAGGTAAAGCGATACACAAATTGAAAGGGGAAATAAGCATATATAAAAAGAAATATAAAAATATAGCCCTAGTAAGTTAATGTAATAATAATAGCTATATATACAGTCATGGCCAAATATATAGGCACCCTTGGTAAATATGAACAAAGAAGGCTGTGAAAATGAATCTGCATTGTTAATCCTTTTGATCTTTTATTTTAAAAATTCACAAAAATCTAACCTTTCATTGGAGAATAAGAATTTAAAATGGGGGGAAATATCATTATGAAATAAATGTTTTTCTCAGAAATGTTTTTCTCACACATTGGACACAATTAACGGCACCCTTTTATTCAATGCTTTTTGAAACCTCCATTTGCCAGTTTAACAGCTCTAAATGTTCTCCTGTAATGCCTGATGAGGTTAGAGAGCACCTGACAAGAGATCAGAGACCATTCCTTCATCCAGAATCTCTCCAGACCCTTCAGATTCCCAGCTTCTCCTCTTCAGTTCACCACTCATCTTCTATAGGGTTCAGCTCAGAGGACTGGAATGGCCAGAGCAGAAGCTTGGTTTTGTGCCCAGTGACCCATTTTTGTGTTGTTTTTAAGGTTTGTTTTTGGATTATTGTCCGGTTGGAAGATCCAAACATGGCCCATTATAAGATTTCCAACAGAGTCAGTAACTTTTAGATTTTTTATCTGTTGGTATTTGATAGAATGATGCCATGTATCTAAACAAGATACAGGACCTCCAGCAGAAATATAGGTCCTCAACATTAAAAATACAGCAGTATATTTCATTGTACACATGGGGTACTTTTTATCACTGTGTGCACCAAACCCATCTTGAGTATTTGTTGCTAAAAAGCTCATTTTTTAGTTACATCTGACCATAGAAGCCAGTCCCATTTGAAGTTCCAGTCGTGTCTGATAACTGAATATGCTGGAGTTTGTTTTTGGATGAGCGAGGAGAATTTTTCTTGAAACCCTCCCAAACAACATGTGGTGTAGGTACTGTTTGACCATTTTTTTTAAGGTCTTTGAGTTCAGTTCATGAAAAATGGGGGCAAAAACAAAAGTGTTGCGTTTATAATTTTGTTCAGTGTATATATACACAAATATTAAATTAAATGTTTACTCTTAATAAAACCGTTTTATCCATTTTTGATAATCCCGGGTTGTTGCAGGTTTGTTTTTACAGTCTATGGTTTGTTTACGCATTAATCTCGTGGCCACGAGAAAAATACGAAGTTCCCTCAACATAAGAAGTCGTGGCCACGAGAAATGGATGTCGTTCCCTCAACAAAATGATCTCGTGGCCACGACAAAACTAAGTGAACTGACCATGTCACCTCGTGGGCACCGTACAGAATTGGCAGACAGAGGATGATTGTAGAAATTGGGCACTACAACAAGGACAGGCATAATTACTTTGACGTGTTTTCAATTACATTTATGCAATACTTAAGTACATAGAACTGTCTGTGTCTGAGGTAATTTACGCGAGTTTAGGAAATTGCTGGTGTTAAAGCTGCTAGTCAAGCTAATTTAGTGACTCACGAAAAAAAAAATGTCTGGGGCATATTTCACCCAAAATAAAACCAAAATTTATATATAGTGCTATAAAAAGCCTAATTTAAGACCATTTAGAAGCATCGTGACAATAACTGACCCTTTCTGAAGCCCCGCCTTAAATCCGTTTTGACCGCTACTCTGACAGCAACTGTCTGTTACCATTACAGACGATATTTTGCTCTTAAGCCTATTTTAAAATATTTAGGTATAATATACAGTATATGAATAGAACATGGGGGAAATTTAATCAAAATTGTCGCATGCCTAAAAAAAAAAACGTAATGGTCCTAAACATTGGCTTTATTTACTTTTACAACATGGACATTCTAGTGATGTTCGATTCTTGAACGAATCGTTCTTTTGAGCCAGTTTGGCCACGAGAAAAATATGTCGTTCCCTCAACATAAGAAGTCGTGGCCACGAGAAATGGATGTCGTTCCCTCAACAAAATGATCTCGTGGCCACGACAAAACTAAGTGAACTGACCATGTCACCTCGTGGGCACCGTACAGAATTGGCAGACAGAGGATGATTGTAGAAATTGGGCACTACAACAAGGACAGGCATAATTACTTTGACGTGTTTTCAATTACATTTATGCAATACTTAAGTACATAGAACTGTCTGTGTCTGAGGTAATTTACGCGAGTTTAGGAAATTGCTGGTGTTAAAGCTGCTAGTCAAGCTAATTTAGTGACTCACGAAAAAAAAAATGTCTGGGGCATATTTCACCCAAAATAAAACCAAAATTTATATATAGTGCTATAAAAAGCCTAATTTAAGACCATTTAGAAGCATCGTGACAATAACTGACCCTTTCTGAAGCCCCGCCTTAAATCCGTTTTGACCGCTACTCTGACAGCAACTGTCTGTTACCATTACAGACGATATTTTGCTCTTAAGCCTATTTTAAAATATTTAGGTATAATATACAGTATATGAATAGAACATGGGGGAAATTTAATCAAAATTGTCGCATGCCTAAAAAAAAAAACGTAATGGTCCTAAACATTGGCTTTATTTACTTTTACAACATGGACATTCTAGTGATGTTCGATTCTTGAACGAATCGTTCTTTTGAGCCAGTTCTCAGGAAGTAACCGCTTGAGCCCATAGACATAATACATCCCTAGACGCCTCATTGGCCATTCGAACGCACGTTAACGTCAATTTGATATTGAACAAAGACGCTGATCTAACAGTTCTTAACAATCCAGCAGATGAAACTGAGTCTGTGGATCCTCTGAAACAGTGACGACATCTATAGGAGCTTTAATAAGATCACACCAAATAAAGAGTCCAGAGTGTTTCTACAGACCATTAGCTTTGATTCTGAAAATTAAAAAATATATAAAATAAGTCTGAGAGCTCAAATAAAACCAACTCCCATGCAATTATGGTGAAAAAGGGAAGAAGAGCCAACACTGCAAAATAAAACTTCATGACTCAAAGAGGAAAACACTCACAAATAGACACCTATGCAGGTATGAACACATTTTGTTAATTCTACTCAATATAACAGTATGATTTCCATATAATTTACATTAACAATGTGACAGAAAATCCAACCAATCACATATTTTATTTGCACTTGTGGAAGTCATTGCTCATTAAAGGGAAACCTTGTTGATACACTGAATGCCACTGCAACCCAGAATATCTTGCAACTTCAAATTCACAGCGCTCTACATTTAATTGGCTATTTGATTAGTAATATCCATGTGAACTGTATGTCGAATTTGATTCATTCATTTTCGTGCAATGGCGACTTTCTGAAAAGTGGGAATTTTTGGTAATTGTGACTTTATATCTTACAATATGACTTGTACAATATGACAATATGATCTTGGAAATGCAACTACTTCTCATAACTGCAACTTTGTATCTCACACTGCAAATTTATATTACAAGCTGACTTTATCTCACAATTGCAACTCTATTTCTTGCACTTGTGACTAATAATTGACACAATATCGAGAAAGTTGCAATTGTAAGATATAAAATCGCAATAACTTTTTTAGCTTATTTTTTAATAACTTATTTTCTTTTCTTTCCCGTGTCTCTGTGGTTCTTCACAAATTTTGTTAAATCTGACAAAGAGACACAGAAGATTCAGGATAAACCCCAAATCCAGCATAGAGGGGTTCAGTGAGTGTGGTGTTGAATGTGTATATGTGTGTGAGTGTGTGTGTGTCAGAGACGCTGTAGAAGGATAGAGTGCCTGACAGACAGTCCAGATAGATACCTACTCTATTAGAGTGGGATGAAGGGCCAAATACATCAGTGCTGTTATTATTGTACCAGACAGTATAATTCATATCAGAACAATACATACTCCAGGAGTTTTCATTGAGACCAAACCAACAGTCAATCCCACTTTTCCTGCTGATTTCTTTATATGTCACTGCTACATGACCTGAGCCACTCCATTTAACCTCCCAGTAACATCGTCCAGTCAGACTCTCTCTACACATAACCTGCTCCTGTTGCGCAAATCTGTCTGGATGATCAGGATACGGCTGATGATCTTTCACACATGTTGTTTTTTTGTAGTCTTCAGACAGGATGAGTTGAGTGTGTGCTGTGTTTGGATCCAGTGTGAGATCACAGGCATCTGAACACAAGAAGAGAGGTAAAAATCATCTATGGCACCCTTAAAAGGGTCATAAGATGCGATTTCAATTGTTCCTTTCTCTTTGGAGTGTTACAAGCTCTTGGTGCATAAAGAAGATCTGTAAAGTTGCAAAGACTAAAGTCTCAAATCCAAAGAGATATTCTTTTTAAAAGTTAAGAGTCAGCCACGCCTACCTAAAACGGCTCGTTCTAACACGCCCCCACGTCTACGTCACGATGTGGGAAGATTTGCATAACGCCGCCCAAATGTTCACGCAAAGAAAGGCAAGACGAAGTGTCTGATATGGTATTGCTTACATTATTGTGACAGACATTGGATCTGTTTTTAGAGTAGAAGAGACTCCAGGATTTGTCATTGTATCCAAACCAACAGTCACTCCCACCTTTCCTGTTCATTCCCTTATATGTCACTGATATAACAACCTCCATTCCACTCCATTCAGCCTCCCAGTAACAGCGTCCAGTCATACTCTCTCCACACAGAACCTGCTCATGGTGATCAAATCTCTCTGGATGATCCGGATATGACTGCTTGTCTTCAACACGCGTTGCCTTTTTGTTTCCTTCAGACAGGATGAGTTGAGTGTGTGCTGTGTTTGGATCCAGTGTGAGATCACAGGCATCTGAACACAAGAAGAGAGGTAAAAATCATCTATGGCACCCTTAAAAGGGTCATAAGATGCGATTTCAATTGTTCCTTTCTCTTTGGAGTGTTACAAGCTCTTGGTGCATAAAGAAGATCTGTAAAGTTGCAAAAACTGAAGTCTCAAATTCAAAGAGATATTCTTTATAAAAGTTAAGAGTCAGCCACACCTACCTAAAACGGCTCGTTCTA